AATTGAGAAGAGATTATCTCTTTAATTATTTGATATTTATTGTTAAATGAATGAAACGAATGAAAAATACATAAAAGAATAAATGAAATGATTACAAGACGAGAAAATACAACAATAATATATAATAAAAACATCTCTAGAATCAAATTATTTGATTTGAAAAACTAATTACAGAGAAACAACATCAATATAATTTCTCAATACTGATTATAGTATAGAAATAAGAATTAGTTTTCAATTTCGGATGAAATATCATTATTTAATAATGATATCAGTTGCTGGTGTGGGTATGTTCTCAGAAGGATTCATCACTTCTTCTGTTGTTTTCAATTGAATTTGAGGTCCATTTACAATTCTCTTATTAGAAGAATCTGTAATTGGTATGATCCTGTTATTATTATTGTTATTGTTATTGTTAAACCATTTTTGTGGCAGTAAAGAACGTATCATCATAATGAATTCTTTTCGATACATACTTGATGTCATTACATATAAATAGAATGATGACATTGGAAATAGATACTGTATTGGTTCAACAAGAAAATAAGCAAATCGTTCAATAACTAGTCTTTCAGTTGACTTGTTTGTGACACTAACTGCTATAGTACTATAAGTAAGATAAATAAGCCATGGTATTGTTGCACAAATATAAGCTATTGATTGACAAAGAAGTATCCATAAAACTTGCCGATCACGTTTGCGTTGTTGATTGTCTGTTTGATTTCTTATTTCTTGTTGTTGTTGTGTGTTCATTAATTGACGACGTTTTCTTTTCTTCACAAGATTATTATAAATAAGAAAGGCAGAGATAATCATGATTGATACTGGAATGATAAATCCAGTAATAATAATAAATATTGGATGATAATATTGTGTAGCACGATTGTAAATAGCGGCACAAATAGGTCCTTTAATATTATAATAGAAAAGACTGGGGACAGGTAATATTAACCAAGTGACTACCATAATTGCAACAACTCGATATGCAACATGAACTTTACTAAAATTGTGCCAACGCATGTTGGAAGATGATAAAGCAACTCGATCAAGACATGCGAAAGCCAAGGACCAACGCATTATCATATATGCAAATATCTGCAAGTAATTTCGGAATTTACAATAAAAAACTGATGTTACACTCGGATCTGCATAATTGATTGTATAGATACAGCTTATAAGACCAGTACTTAAAGTAGTCCACATGGATACAGATGCGGACAGGAAATCTAGAAAAATCAAATCATTATTTCTTCTATTAATTAATCTACAAGAACGATCAACTTTGGAGATTTGTATAAAACTGTTCATTTTCTGTCTTTATCAGATAATTTCGAAAAGAAAAAACAAATACACTTACATATTGAAATAGACATCGTCCGAAATTGTCGTCGAGAGAAAAGTAAAATATTCAGAGAACAGCTAATAAAGCCAAGAAAAAGTTCTGTATAATAAATGTATGGTGCAGCTTTGTTTTGGATGTTTGTTAACGTTTCGCTTACTGATGACATTGATGCAAAATAAAATCTTTTTCAATAAGATAATAAAATCTACAAAAGATTTCTGAGAATATTCATACTAGAACAAATCTATTCTAATTTTGTTCTTTGCACAACTAACATATCTAGGCGAATATTGTCAAATGATCTAGTAGAATCTTCTAACATCTTTCTTTTTCGAAGAAAGTAAATTATATAGCAAGAATCAAGGTTAATTTTCATTATCATCAGCGTAAATAATATTTGACAAAATTAAATATAGATTATTTCAAATATAAAACTAGATCAGACAATCAAGGAAATATAATTATCATTTATATCCAGTTGAATATATCATAAACTATATTTTTTATGAAACTTCGTTTTTTTACTTTTTACCTTTTGATCTGTCAACAAATGTGTTGATTATATTATGGGTCAATTTATAATCATAGATTTGTTTTATTATTAACCTACAAATTTATTTAATCTTTACAGTTGGATTGATTTTATGACGTCAATATATATTAACGAAAGAAACATAATTGGAAATTCTGTTTATCACGTACTCTTTTACCCATAGATGAGCTGACGGAAAAGAACTGACAAATTTATTTAAATTAAATTATATAGAAGCCCTAAAGAAAGTTATCAACAAAATCCAGGATATGTTTTATATATCAAAATAATGAAATTACTCACTTTTATTTAAAAAATATCGCGGGTGTGGGTGTGGATGTTATACGTTTCTTCTATCCACAGTCACACCCTCTTTTTATTTAACTTAATCGTTGTTTTTAAGTTCTTGCGATTGAAAAAAAGTCAATATGTATTTTATAGAATAGGTTATAGGCATCATGTGACGCGTTTCGATTAGGACAAAATCTAATCATTGTTTATGTTTTGCATTAATATACTACATAATCATTGAAGATGCATCAAAATGCAAAAGAGGCTAATCCAGATTTCTATCAAATATGAAACCAGTTTTCTACATTTTCAACAAGTGATCTTTTATGGGATCTTTATTAAAATCAAACTTATCAAGAGTTTATACGAACATTTCAATCAACTCCAAGAAGGAGAAGAAGAAAAGAAATATAAATGAAGAAAGAGACGTAGAATTTTAACCGATATTTATGTGAAATGAATGCAGATATTCATATCTAGAAAAATTAAAATAATTCTTTTTTATTCTCGAATAATTTTTATTATTTGATACACGATACAAAATGAAAATCTAAGTACATCGGCATAATCCATTTTGCACGTATGTTCTTTTTCAAACTAAAAAATGTTGCTATTGACATATACATTCTGTTCTTCCAATAATTGTCACAATTTAAAAAATAAATCATTGGAAAAAAGAACATACATTGAACAATACAATAAGGATCGATAGGTCCCGGATGTTGAAAATTTGACGACAGCAATATTCTAGCCGAGAAAATTTCCATTTTTTCTCAATGATTTTTGATCGATTCCTGTTGTCAACAAAGCGTCATAGAACGAACTGTTCATTATCATCATCACTGAATATCTTGAATCAATTAGTGCAAGGACAAGCACTCTAATTGAATAATCGTTGATGCCACTGAAATATCCCACGACTAATCTTCTTCATATTCAATTATTCACTTAACACTTTGTCGTGACGAAATAGTGTGATTATGTATAACAACATTTGTATATAAATACATACGCTCGATTTATCTCTTCATCACTTCATATGGCATCGCAAGGTTTAATATTGTTGATAATCGTTTCATTAATAGGACTTGGTAATACAAATCTCACATGTAAGTTAGATAACAGAGATGCTGGATTTTTGTTCACAGCTTCTTCAAATAAAAGCAATTTACTTCATTCAGATCTATTTTGTAGATAGAGTTAGAACGTAAAACCAATTTGACAGTTGAGAAGCTTTTCTCATCAGTGTAGAAAGAATTAGAATTTATATCTGTTGATATTTTCCAATGCACGCAAAAAAAGTATTGGGTGTTGAATTTAATTCTAAACAAAATGGTGTAACTGCTCCAGTAATCAGTGAAAACCAGTGGATTGTTTTTAGCTAAAGAATAACAACAGGACAGGTTGATCCGAAACATTACTCTCTGGTGTTTTCATATATTTTTACTACAGGACTATTTCTCCAACATACTATCTTTCGGAATAAGAGAAATATTTTTGAATGATTGAAACATGAGAGGAAAATGTGCTGAGATTTAATAGGATTTTATCTAGGACACACATAATACATAATGTCACTGAAAAATACTCTAACAAAGTAGTATAACTATTGAGATTTCCTCACATAAGAAACTAACAGGTTTGAAGAAACATACGTGATCTTCGCCACAAAAGAAAACCTATGAATTCAATAGTAAAAATATTATAGAAATATGCTTCTAAAATTCGGAGAAGAGAAATCAGGAGTATTTTGTTATGTCGCGTAATTCTGTTGATCAGATCCGACATCGAGGAAGTCTTTTCATGAGACGTTTCATTTGAACGAAGAAAATATTCTTTATTTTAATGTTGATTCTATTTGTATCTTTAGCATCATGTGATTCTATTTGTAATAATGGTTGTACAGTTAAATATTTACGTACTAACATACGATGTTATTTACAGTCGAAACAAATAACAATTATCACCGCAACAGATCAGACGTCATTTATCACTCATAGTGGTAACAATCCACCATCTGGATTTGATGTTGATCTAATGAAGTATATTGGTGATATATATCAAATAAACTTTTTATATCAATATGGGCAGTTTTCCCAATTTGTTCCTACGGTTCAAAATAATACGAACATAATTTCAATCAGTACTCAAACAGATACTTTAGCACGCGAACAACTCGTTAACTTTGTTCAATTTTATACGAGTGGTACTGGTTTCATCGTTCGATCTACTTATCATCAAACTGTCAATGGATTAAATGATTTGTGTGGTAAAACAGTTGTAGTATTAGCTTCTTCAACTCAAGAAAGTGATGTTCAAGCACAGAATGTCAAATGTAAAGTTGCAATAACAATGCAATCTGTTCCATCCATTTCAGACATGATAAATGCCGTTCAGATGAGCGCAGCTGAGGTAGGTCTTTATGGTGAAGCTGTACTCAAGGCAATTGCTCGTAAATCCAATAATCAGTTAAAAGTAGTTGGACAAATATATGATATTCAACCTCGTGGTATTTTATGTAACAAAAGAAATATGCCGTTATGTTGTGCATTGGTTAATGCTATAAACTATCTGATTCAAAAAGGCACCTATGAGAGATTATTGAACAAATATTTATTGTCTTATGAAGGTTACGGTATTTGCCCATCCAGAATTAATCTGTCTGGGTCGACGTGTTTATCAACATGTGTACCAAGCATTATGAATTGTCAAAAGAAGTTAAATTCAACAATGATATGGTAAACAATCTTCACAACTAGATTTAATTATATCTTTCGATTTCAACATTCAAATAGTTTGCTTGTGTAAATCAGCAAGATTATTGTCAACATTTTGATTGTTTCTTTCTTTTTTTTGTATTTTGCTTTTTGTTAACGTTCGGAATCAGAAGAATCGTATAGTTTCCTATTCAATTTCACTTCATTTATTGTGTATTGTACTAACCAAAACTAAAAGATTTATAAAAAAAACGAAACATACGATGAATATCGAAAGAGTAATTTGAAATAGAAAAGATCGAAGTCAATAGCTACAAACGAAAGAATTTATAAATGAATCAATTTATTTTTTGAATTCAAATGGCTATTGTTGTGGGAAAACGATTGATTACTCTTTAGAACAATATATAATATCTCGTATTAGTAGATGATAATCTTTATCATAATCAATACTATGATTTTGTTCAGTCGACTGATAATACGACGTATTATATTAGGATTAAACAAAAGAAACTTTTATTAATAAGCTCATTGAGAACTATAAAGAAGATGATAGATACTTAGAATGTCTGCAAATAAGTACTTGCGCTATGATCCATGATGCGAAATATCCTTCATTAGTTGTTGTTGTTGTTGATGTCGATACTAGTATCTTAACAACAATAATTGAAAGTTTATATAGACAAAGTAAATCATTAACTGTAATAATGCAAGAATCTTTTAAAAGCGAGTTTATTAATAAAATTGAGATATAGCATCATTTATAAATACCGTAGGCTATTATTTAAAAGTATGTAGTAGTACAATTAATTGACAAACAAACTTCTTTTGTATTGTTAACTCGAACAATGGTTTGTACTTTCGAGAAGATGCTATCTATGACGTAAAGATAGTTCAATTTGAAAATAATCGGCATTTAGTCAGATCAAATACTCTTTAAGTAGAAATACTAAAGTATTTAGACAATAGTTATTTATTAATTGTTGAAAAATACGTTTATTAGCAGTAACAATTCATCCATTTTGTTATGTTTATATTATAAAACTTTTGATGATAAATAAGCTTCGAAAATAAATTTATTTCATTGTTAAATTATTGAAATGTGCTATCATTATTCATGACACCCTATTTATAGTAGAAATGAATTATTTAGAAAGCAGAGAGCTCTATTTTTTTCTCTTTGACTGCATTCATGAAGAAAAACAGATAAAGATCTACCGTTTTGATTTTGATATGTTTATCTTCTTCGAGGTAAAAATCAATTTGAGCGCATTAGGTTCATCTAAGAACGATCATAATGTCTCTACTTCCCGTTCGTTTATTATCACTAACATTGGATATTCATTATGAATAAAACAGAAAAAAATCCACCTCATCGCACTTTTCCATTCTATTAATTTTTAGTTAAAGAAAACAGACACTGGAAAGTACTCATTACTTGACAGCGTCATAGAACTTCATAATGCATCTAATGGACTTATTGTTCATTATTAATACGTCTTTGCTTCGTATATATTACTTTTAGTAATATATATATGTGTGTGTATGTTTACTTTATATTATAGAGGCATCTGATGTTTTTTACGCATTTTTTTTAGATAATCTTATTTCTAAGTAAAATATTTAGTAGACCTGGAAATTAAAGAGAATATTTCATCTTTTCTTGATGAAGTGCACTTAGTATTTCTTAGCTCTTTATTGTAAATTTTAATTAGTAAAGTAAATAATCCGAAGTAGAAAAGTAACAAGGCATATTTTCATAAACAGTTCTTTTCCTAGTTCATTATAAATAAATTTTCTTCTCTTATTCATGTTCAATGAAAACTACGTGACTACTTTTTTCTTCTTTTTTCAATAAAACAAAATAAGTTCTATACAATTTTATATTTATAATAATTGAATTAAAAAATTTGCAACTCAATTAAATTAGTAAGTCATAGTATGATTTATTTACGTTATGTCAATTGACATTTTACTATGAATATTTTTACTTAAATGAGCGCATAGCGTACTGCTTTAAGGACAATTTTCTGATGGACTTCAATATTTTCGAAAACTATTTATTGTTATTATGTTTGACAATATTGTATATTGGAAAAATGATGACTAATAAATATTTCTATATTATTATGTACGTGTTTGAAACAGATATTAGATAAATCTAATTTATTTTCTTTCATATCAAGAACAGTGTAGAATTATATTTCATACTGCGCACTAGGGTATAAGCTTTTTGACTATCTACTTTCTTCTCAAATTCAGATATCTAGTTTTAAATAGATCAGAAAAATATATGACATTTTTTTCGTTATATCAAAATCGCTATCTTTTGTTTTAGTCTGGCTGGTTAATATTCCTCCTTTTTACCACAATATATCCTCCTGCTCCTCTTTTTACTATAAACCTCCTCCTTTTCCATTTTGATTGCAAAGTCACTAAATTTTCGACCTTAAAAGCTTAAAAATTTACAGATTATAAAATTTCAATAAGAAATGCTACTTTACTCAACTAAATTCCATACTAGTTGGTTAGAAATCTATTGATGAAGAAATGACAAAAACCATCGAAAATGTATCCATAATTCAACAAAAACGAGTTCGTGTTGAATATGAACGATTAAAAAAGAAAAACAAATTAGTTTCTGAACAATCGAAAAATGAAGATGATAAAATGTTTTGAAAAAGAATTTTGATTTTCATGAAACAATCATACAAGATTGTTGTAATGATTTATCAGATATTTCAATTTTGATTTATAATTGTTTTCTCGTAGGTGATTGATTTTTCATTATTTTTTTGAAAGATATGAATAAACATTGTGAAATTATTATAAAACCATTAATAGATCTCTTCCGAAGCGAATGTCCGTACTAAAAAAACTCATAGAAGTCAGTTTTTATCATAAAAAATAGCTCCTCCAATTTTACAGCATATCCTCCAAAAAAATTTTAATTGAATCTTCCCTCTTTCTCTTTTTTTTCAGATCAGCGTTAACATGCCAGGTGGAGAATAATATTTCATACTGCGCACAAGGGTATAAGCCTTTTGACTATCTACGCTCTTCTCAAATTCAGATATCTAGTTTTAAATAGATCAGAAAAATATATAACATTTTTTTCGTTATAACAAGATCGCAGCGTTTTGTTTTAGTTTAGTACTTGAAAATATTGTTATCTTGAAGCAACCCGTTGCACAATCTTAAGGTATTGTCACAGAAATATATGAGAGCTGAAGTTGATGACACACCTTTTCATTATCGATGATTAATAAAACTATAGGGAAGCTAGCTACGGTATATATATATATATCCTGGAAAATATTTTTGTCACTGTCATTATGAAGGACAAATGACGTGAAAATTATTTTTTTACAGACATCAACATATATGAAATTATTATTTAAAAAAAAAGTGTGTTTATATACTTTTAGCAGCTTAGACTTACATTCCATTTTTCAAAGTATTAAAATAAATATAGATACAATAAAATACTTTTAGATATATTTTATCTTTAAATTCTACAATGCCACTTACAGCAGACCAAAAACAGATACTTCAATCGACATCACCTATTTTTAAAGAACATGGAAAAGAAATTACATCAATTATATATAAACATTTGTTTGCAGATCATCCTGAATTATTAGATATATTCAATCGAACAAATCAAAAGAATGGTACACAACCATTTGCATTAGCAAATACAATGTATCTTGCTATTGAGAATATCGATGATTTAGAAGTACTTATGCCTCAATTTTTACTTATCTCTCATAAACATCGTGCATCAATGGTTCGACCGGAACATTATCCAATTCTTCGAAAATATGTACTTATGGCAATTGATGAATTCTTAGGTGGTATGGCTGATCCTTCTATTTTAGGTGCATGGTCAGCTGCTTACAATATGATTACTAGTTGTTTTATGGGTATTGAAAAGAAATTATATGCTGAACTTGGTGATAAACATGAACAAGGTTTTATTCCATTTAAAATTATTAAAAAAGAAATTATTGCAAGTGGTCCAGTTGTTGCTTTTACATTTGAACGAAATGATGGTGGAAAATTACGAGATTATCATTCAGGACAATATACTACCATTCGAATTAAAAAAGATGGGCTTTATCACTTACGACATTATAGTCTTACTCAACCATTCGATGGTAAAACATATTCTATTGCTATTAAACAAGATATTGATCATGAACCAAAAGGTATTGTTTCCAATGAACTTATTACTAAATATAAAGAAGGTGATACTGTTTTACTGAGTTTGCCAGCTGGTACTTATGCTTTAGTAAAAGAGGCTAAACATCATTTATTTATTGCTGGTGGAATTGGCATCACTGTTTTATCAGCGATGATAAAAGATTTACATAAACAAGGTAAATCAGATATGGCAACATTGATTCATTGTGTAGCATCTGAAGATCAAGCTGCTTTTGAAAATGAAATGCGTAAAATCTTACCCGAAGATCAATATTATTTACTTCTTCAAAGTAAACATCTCTTACAAGGAACTCTTGAAAAAATTATAGCATCTGAAACACAGGTTTATATATGTGGTTCACCTGTATTTATGAATAAAGTAAAAGAATATTTGGAACGATTGGCTCATCCATTGTCTCAGATACATATTGAAGCATATCTACCGTCACTTAGTTTGATTGAAGATGCTGTCAAGAATCATTCAGCAGTAAAAGCATTATAAAAACTACATTGTATTTTTATTCAAGCCTTACTCCCATAACTATATATGATGATACCCTGAAAAACAAGAATATTTGTTCTGATAGATCCATTGTAATAGTCTGTATTCCTTCTTTATTTTTATGTAAAATGTCTTGGTCTTATATATTTTAATGATTATTAAATAAATATTTTCTTGTAGAAGATGTTATTCAATAATTTATAGTTTCTTTTCATCGGTATCAAATAATATAAAATATTGAAAATACGATGTTTTTTTGTTTCATGTTGAAACGTGTTCTATATTAATTTTAAATTCATAATAGAATTATTCATGTCAAAAAATATTTTTCCACTTGGATTATTTAATCGTATAAATGGTATAGAAAAATAATCTACCTCATTTCCTTTTTTTTCTCTTTCATTAGCATCTAGTGCTAAACGGATGTTCGTGAATCTTTATTATTCAGTAAAAATGAATATTTTACGAGGTATCAAATCAACAAATTTTTATTATTATGAATACATTTCTAAATAATGTATGTCATCGTATTACAACATAATAAATCTATACAACTATTAGTATTAGCTAGTTTCTAATGGCTGAATTTTGTCATTTTCTGTATCTATTTTTTAAACTACCTTCATTTTTATTTGCTTCGATTATTTTCATTATCTTTGCTCTATTTCTTCCTGTTATCATATTCTATAATAGTCGTATCTATTTTTAGTTAACGAAGAAAAATTTTTAATCGAGTATATCTATATGTAGAACATTAGATTTTGTTATAAATAATCGCATATAGAGAGGAAGAGAAAGAAAGTCTTTTTACTTCGTTGCAGTTTTTAAGTATAAACATGTCGTTTTTTATTGAAGTAGATGCTCAAATATCTATTTTCGTCACTTTAGATTAACCTTGAGAGTCTACTCTAATTCATAGTTTAATAAAAAAAAGAAGAAATAAGACAGTTTGACATAATCCATTTTTTTAATCGAAATCTAATCTTATTATATCCTTATAGTATAAGAAAATGACAAAAATAATAAATGAAATTAATTTTTAGAGAAAAATATTAATCAATAGATTTTAAAGATTTATTTTTAGATTCTCTCATGTCTTTAACAGAAGAACAAAAACAAATTATTAAATCAACAGCACCAGTTCTAAAAGAAAATGGTAAAGAAATTACATCGATTTTTTATAAACAATTATTTAAAGCTCATCCCGAATTATTAAATATGTTTAATCAAACAAATCAAAAGATTGGTACTCAACCATTAGCATTAGCTAATACAGTTTATTTTGCTGCTGAAAATATTGATAATTTAGGTGTACTTATGCCTCAAATTCAACATATTGCACATAAACATCGTGCTTTAATGGTTCAACCAGAACATTATCCAATTGTTGGTAAATATTTACTTCATGCTATTAAAGAATTTTTAGCTGAGAAGGCAACATCAGAAATATTAGATGCATGGTCAGATACTTATAATATAATTGCTTCGATATTTATCGATATAGAAAAAAATTTATATGATAAATTTAATCAAGATCCTCGTGACAAAGGATTTAATTCATTTACAATTGTAAAAAAAGAAAAAATTGCCAATGGTCCAATTATTTCTTTTAAACTTGAACGAACAAATGGTGGTAAAATGTATAATTATCATCCAGGACAATATCTAACACTTCATGTAAAAAAAGGGAATTATTATCATAATCGACATTATAGTTTAACACAACCATTTGATGGAAGATCATATTGTATTGCTATTAAACAAGAAAATGATCGACAACCAAAAGGTATTATTTCAAATGAAATTATTAATAATTATAGAATAGGTGATAAAATCTCAGCAAGTTTTCCAGCTGGTACATTTAGTTTAATAAAAGATGCTAAACATCATTTATTTATTGCTAGTGGAGTTGGTATAACTGCTTTTTCATCATTAATTCAAACATTATATAAAAAAGGCAAATCAAATATTGTAACATTAATTCATTGTGTACCATCTCAAGGACATGCTGCTTTTGCTAGTCAAATGCGTTCTATTTTAAATTCGAATCAATATCATTTACTTTTACAAGGTAGATATCTTCTACAAAATCTTATTAACGATATTATAAAACAAGATACACATGTATATATATGTGGTTCAACATCATTTATGAATAAAGTACAAGATTATTTAATTGAATGTAATCATCCAATGTCTCATATTCATACAGAAGCATTTCGACCATCATTGAGTTTAATTAAAAATGCGGTGAAAAATCAATCAAATACAAAAGCATTATAAATAAGTATATAATATATCTTATTTTAAAGACTATTTTTAGAAATATATATATTTGTTTTTGTAGGTGAACTTAGTATTGACGTTGTTTATTTTTTTTTCTGAAAATATATATTTATATTGTATGCTTTTATAGTTTGTAAATCTATAGATGATTAAAAACAAAATTTAAAATAAACATACAATTAATAATCTTTCAAAGAAATTACTTTAAAACTGAATAGTTGAAGCATGAATTTATTTGATCTTTATAAATAGTATAAATTAGAAGAAAAATTATATCTTTTCTTCACTTCCTTTCTGATTTAAATCTTTATTAATAAAGGAACAGTAATATTATACCTAGATATGTAATCATTGAATACGATGTTATTAGAAAAGGAATGATATGTATTACATCATCGAATAACTTTTTATTAACCAAGTCTGCACTTGAATACAACCAAGGAAATTTTTATAACAAATGTCATTGTTGAGAAAAAGCAGTGTGAATATTATTAGCTCTCATGTTTTTCTTGCCGACCTAACAAAATAGTTTTCAATTACAACTTAAGTGTTTCAGCACTGGTAATCAACAGAAACAAACAAAACTTTTTCAAAAGCTCAATATATCATAAATCTAATTTCATTGGAAAACAAGATGAAATGTATCGAAATTAAACGCTGTTATATATATCTTCGTTAGTTATGTCATAAAAAAGATTTTTTTTTGGGTTAATTTATATTACAGTAAAATCTCTATTTGATAGAATATTTTCGATTATCTAAGAATAAAAATTATATTAAAAAGCGCCAGTTTTTCTTCTTTATATGTTCGATCATATTTTCCTTATATTCATATAAACTTTTCATTAAATTTAATTTTTCCTTTAAAATTATAATAAAACAAATTGAATATAATTATGATTGAAACTCAAAAATCTTCAACTGGATTACAACAAGTAACATCAACTGATATTTCAACCCATTGTTCAAAATGTGGTGAAAAAATTTTAAATGTTATGACAGCTGATGAAAATAAAGTTTATCATCCACATTGTTTTAATTGTTCTGATTGTGGCAAAACATTAGCCGGTGGATTTTTCTATAAATCAAAAAATATCAAATCAAATGAATTAACATCAACTACAAGAAATAGTGTTTCGGAATCAATACGTTTTTGTGAAACATGTTATAAAAAAATTGCACCAAAATGGTATGTCATGCATATAGAATATATCTATAATTAAACTAAATAATAAATTTAGTGCACGATGTCATAATATTATTGAAGCATCATCGATTGTATGGGAAGATAAAAAATTTCATGAATCATGTTTTACTTGTTGTGGTGTAGATAAAGATGATATTCAATGTCGAAAGGTTAAATTTTGTTTTTTTCTATTGAATTTTTAATGTGTTTATCTAGCCGATGAAAGATGAATCGGTTTATCCATTAAATGATAAATGGTATTGCAAAAATTGTTTTGATAAATTAGATACTGGTATTAGTGCCGCTTCTAGAGATATACTTACTCAAAAATGTTTTAAATGTTATAAAGAATTTTCTCCTGGATCTTTAGTTAGTGAATGTAAATTAGTTTTAATTTATTTTTTCATTTATTTTAATAATAATCGTATAATTATTTAAGATAAAGGAGATTATTATCATCCAACTTGTTTTGTATGTTCTCAATGCAATACATCAATTGCTAATAAATCATTTTATCATCAAGCTAAATCAGATGATCGACCATCGGAAATGAAATTCCTATGTGAAAATTGTCATATTAAAAATGCACAAGAATGTGCAGAATGTAAAAATAAAATAATTAGTGGTGAAGCAAGTATGTTATTTCATTCTTCTTTATTTCATAGATATATATATACTAAATTTCTATTCTAGTCGGTTTCGAAGGTAAACAATATCATCGATCATGTTTTACTTGTCAAAATTGTAAAAATGAAATTGGTACATCTCATTTCTTCAAAACTAAAGATGACAAATATATTTGTCAGCATTGTTCACTTCAACAACAACAAGATACTCATTCAAAATAAACTATTTACTCTATATACAATGCGAGATTTTCGTTGATTTTTCTTTCATAATAACAAAATATTTAATTTAAAATGATAAAAGAGATCTGAAGTCTATATAAATAATGCCAATGTTTTTTTTCTTCATCTTATCCTATAGATAATAAAGTAATCATTAATTTTACTAGTCAACTATTTTATTGCTTCATCAATCATCATTTGACATTGATAATTTTCAAAATCAAAAAGATAATGAACAATTGTTTTGAATAATCTCGAAAGAAAAATATTATCTATTGTCAACATATAGATTTACAATTTGTAAATAATTTTGACATATATATTGCATTTCTTCTTAGTTATTATAATCATGTTCCCATGACTAAAGAGAAACATAATGTTCATGATGAATGTATGTGTTAATACATCTAGTATAAGGTCATGGCCTATATTCTTAGTAAAAGATCAGAATATAAACGATATCTCCATCCTATTAATATTATTGTTTCTTTAAGCATAATGACATTTCTTTAGTCAATCTGTTCTCTATCATTTAACTCTCAATCATTAACAAACATAAAGATCAGTTTTTTTTGTTGTGTGTCGTCATATTCAAAAAAAAGAAAAAATAATAAATATATTTCTATAAAAACAAAAGACTATACAATTGACAATGAAAAACTGCAAAGAAATGTTTCTATTGAAAATCGACGATAATAGTTTTTTTCTTGAATTAAAACAGAACCGGTATTGTAATACACCATCAAAAGACGAACGTAATGTTTTTTTTTTTAATTCTTATCGTCGTATTAAATCAATTGAAATAAATAATATAATAATAAGATAGAATTTCATTTGAATTCTTGTTGATAATGATACAATATTCAAAGGAAGATTACGATTGGTTCTATAATTATTTTGATAATTTTCAATTAATAGAGATTTTTGTTGACGAACTGTCATATTCTCTAATAAAGTTAATGTAACATTAAGATATTGATCTTCTTGTTGATTTGAATAAGGTAAAAAATAATTTGTTATCGTCTAGAAGAAATAAAAGATTCAATTACATCATTAACAGATATATATATACTTACAGGCAAAAGATCAATAGAAATAAGTTCGATATGACTTGGCAGCTGTTCAATACGTAATCGATATACAATATCAGTACCATCATTAGCTAATTGAGTAGATATATACATATTATCGTTTATTGATAAAAGAAATTATTAAGATTACTTACAAAGTGAATGAATATTTTGCCAATAGAATTGAATACCTGATTCATTTCTTGTTACAATTAGATTAAGTGGTGATAAGGATGACATAGTTTGTTTATCATCTATTTGACATGATGGACGAATAGTTCCAAATATATGTATTGATTGACATGAACTAACATTAAAATGAACTTGAAAAGGTTTTTGAATACGTATTTTTGGTATAACTGGTTTTATATTTAATACATATGTACAATTAAAACGTAAATCATATAATTCAAATGAATTTTCTATTGTAAATGCATCACGTCTATAACAACATGATAATACATCTGAATAACATTGAGTTTCAATCCAATGTAAATCATATTGTTGAATACGATAATCATTGATTTTATTCCATGTTATATTTGTTTTAATTAAACCATTTATAAAATATGGTTCGGATATATGAAAATTTTTTATTGAAAATAATTCGTCGTCATAATTAAACTTTATTGAAATTGGTGCACTCATTTGAATAAGATCACCATCAGGGATAATTAATGAACGAATCTATACATTGAGAGAATAGTTAAGTGGATACTTGACTTTTTGTTCAAAATGAATACTTACTTTAAAAATATACGATGTATGCATAGACAAAAATGGAATAGTTAATTCTAATGGATATAATGCTGAAGAAACATCGACAGTATTTACAAAGGATGCTGAATCATTCTCTCCTTCCCATGAAATCTACATATGAAAAGAATTGTAATTATACAGAAATGAAAAGGAATTTTTTTGTCAAACCTGATAACCATGAACAAGGAAATCTGGTTTCTCCCATTGAAGAGTTACATTTAGTTTTGTATTTGATTCTGTTTGAAAATCCTTTACAATTAAATTTTTAGGTGATGCTATTGTTGTAAATGAATTTTGTGAATTATTTTCTAGAAGACGAGAAAAAGGAATCAATATTTTTTTGTTTTCTTTTTCTTGGTTAAATATTTTTACTTGAATTTGAACTTAAACGAAAAGGTTTTGTTGTTGTTGAAAATGGTGAATAACCATGTCGTGTTACAGCAGCAACACGAAATGTATACCATCGATTATCTCGTTGAATATTTCTTATAATTGCTTTTGTATGTGATACTTCTTCTTTGACAAAACCCCATTTCGAAACTGTATCTTGTTGATTCATATCTGATTTTGGTAATGTCCATTGTGCTTCAATAACATAGAAAATAGGCTCAAGATTTGTCATTCCATTTGAACTCCATTTTAATCGTACGGTTCGTCGACTTTTCCTTTCAATAGCAGTGACATTATTCGGTTGAGGGACTTTTTCTATAAGAAAAGAAAAAAACATACGTATGTTATTTTTTCTCACATTCATCATTTCCTCGCGTGCAATACACAAGGCTAATTATGAACAGCTTTTTCTTCATTCCAATATGTCAATCATTATTTTATGATGGCATCCGGGACACCTGCATGAATCGATCAACTTACCGAAACAATCATTCAATGGTGAACATGATGATGTTGATTGACAATCGTCTAACAAAAATAGAAAAAGAAATACAATGATTATTACTTTTGATGTACATATAAAGATAATCCTCTTGCTCGATCTATCGCTTTCTTCTCTCTCATGAGACATCAAATAGTAATAACAGAAAAAAAGAAAAATGAAGTCTTTAGGCAAAATGAAAATTTCTTTATCTCTATTCAATTGTCATTTACTTTATTTTATGAAATATCTCAAATTTCTTTCATACCTGTCAAACAATTTGATTGTTGTTGATAAAGTTTTTGAATAAAAACACAACTTCGTTGACATTCAACGTTTGTTAACTAAAATAACGAGAAAAAAAAGTATATATACATATATCAGATTGTTAATCTTCATTAATTCTATTTTTTCTGCTCTATTTATTTGTTTCGCCTACTTTTCTTCAGTTTCCCATATCTGCTTTCTGCTATTTCTTTCTACCATAAATATGTATATATATATATATATACATACAGTTGTCGACATCATGCGCGTTCATCACAATGAACATATCATCTTTCTTAGGTTTATTTTTTACCATCGATAATGAGCTCACCAGATACGAGGTCATGCTTTAGATCATCATCATAGATAGAAAAAGAATAAAAATAAAAAGAAGAATAATACTTACTGTAGAACAGATTGCTTGACAACTTTGTTCGTTAGACAAGAGAAGTGGTGGATCTAAGTCACATGGGAGTAGACACTAGAATGCATAAAAAGAAACAAGTACAAACAAATCGAACTCGTTAGCATACTGATGAGTAAAGAAAAAAAAGAAAAATTATCCAATTTCCGACTATAGTGGTTTGTCGGTCAGTAGGACTTTTTTTTTATAATAATTCAATTAGTTAGACATTAGACTCTCTATTTCTCATTAGCTATACAATTTAGACTGGTTATCACATGAGACAATCATACGTTGCAACCTTCCTCTTCTTTTTCTATTCATTCGGTCAATTTACTTACCGAGTTACATGTGATAAGGCGTGGACAACGCTCCCAGATAGATCGCCATGGTAAAGTTAGTGCATGTGTCGTCTAAAATATAATCATAATTATTGAAGACATTCAATTGATACTTGATTTTCTTTTTGTTTTCTTATCGATTTTTTTTTCTTGTCAAAGTGATTATTCATATAATTATAATGTACGTCAATGTATATGTATATATGTATGTAAAAAGGCAGATCGTACAATTGACAAAAGATCAATATTATACTTGACGAAAAGCAAAAAAACTAACTAACTTATTCATTTCATTAAGTTTAAATCAACATCATTAGAATGAATGAAAAGTGAAAGAGAGACAGAACTTCTTGTTTTTTTTGTTATTATTCTCAATTTTCGATTTGTACTTAATATTTATTTAGTGTCTTGTCCATCGTATTGAATGAATATGATAGACGAGACACCTCATCTATAAAAATAACAAAAAAAAGCTAAAGTCTAAACTAAATGAGAAACGGAAGCACCTGTATATATGGATAAATAACACCTTCATTTTTATGTTTTTTCTTATAATAACTGAAACAAAATCAAATTTGATATTCTTCGAACTAATTTTGTTTGTCAAATAGCTTAATCGACAAAGTAAAGTGAATGTACATATCTTGAGGCTTAATTGTGCATTGCTCAAACGAAGATGAAAAGAAAGGTGTTTAATGTTTTATATATACATATATAAATTCAACGACAAAAAGAAATACCCTCATTTGCAATTAGAAAAAAAGAATTTAAAAGAAAATATTTTAGATCAAAGTAGATCAATATTTTTTCATTATGTCAATTCCAGATTTCTTTTTTTTTGTATTTCCTTGAGATTATTTCTAAGCAAAAAGCTTGATTAAATAAACAAAACTACATAGTGTGCATGTTTTCTTAACCTCGAAGGAAAAGTCTATCAATATATATCCTTGTCTCAGCATGTAACATTCACAGGTGATAGCCTCACTAGGTGGGCAAAGACTAATTTTGAGTGTCAATTATAGATAAAGAAGGTTTTCTTTTTTGATCTCACCAGTACTCTTTTCGATTTTTCATTATTGAATGTAGCTGGTACCGAACGTTGTTGATGATGATGATTTCGATATTCATATAAACAGCGTGCTTTACATTGTGCTGATATTAAAGAACTATACCGAATATTAGCGATATCATTTGCTGTTGCAGCAGTTGAATAAATAAATTGAAGAAATAATATAAGGATAATTGAGACAATCATGGTATATAGAGAATGGTTAATCTAGCGAAATATATTTGTGTGTATATATGTGCACTTCGATAAGATCAAACGTTGAAATGAAAAAGAAGAAAATTAGCTACTGCACAATGTATATGTGTCTGTATGGCTTGCGATTTTTCCAATATATGAGACGCGATAGAGGGTGAGTGCATTGCGCCCACCCACTCCATGATTTTTCTCTTTCTCTTTCTCTCTCTTCTCTCATTTCTCTCTCTCTCGTTCTTTCCAGCGTTCATCGTTCTTCGGTCTATTTATTTTTTGAACCCGACACTAGACTAAAAGAGTTGTACATTTAGACAATATAACAAAAAAAGCAAATGAAGAACAAAAAAAAGAAAAACTTATTCCATCGTTGCCGATCATTATATACATATAATTGTCCTATGTCCGGTAAAATGATTGTACTAGTTAATGTCCAATATTGAGATCTTGAATTGATTGAGAATCAAATTCTAATAAAAAGGATCAGAGAAAAAGAATCTCATCTAATTGAAAAAAAACGACCATTTAAATAAGTATGAGATATATATATATAATTTCAAGTTTTATACATTTATTTTCAATATGTTCTCAATATTCTACCTATTAAAAGAAATGGTGCTCCGTTCTATTGATTGAACAGGAAGTGTGGACCGCGCACACTCTTCAGGTAATTGTATATGTATGATGGAATGCATTGCTTTTTCAAGTGGTTGTTGCCGATCGCCATATGGACAGATTTTTTTTTATGACAATGACAACGGACGCGATGGTTGAAGTTAGTTTAAAATTCAAGTAGCCGGAAATATGTGTATACATATATATTTGTGTGTGGGTATAAATCAAGGCAAAAAAAACAATACTGTCTTCACTCTTTTTTCCTCTTTCACTAACTGAATTGATCATTGAAGTAGACGAATAATCAATCCAGTTTTTCCTCTATTATTACTTCTTTTGATACAAGAGTGACATAATCCTTTTGTCGCCTGTTTTAAAGTGGTCTCGTTTTTTTTTTTGTCTAACTCTGAACACCTTTGAAAAAAGAAGAAAATGTCGTTTCCTCTTTGTATTTTATCTTCGTTCGATAATAATAATGATGGTGACGATGATGACAGATCTAGAAAATCGAATTGGAGATGTGAGATGTATGAGAGAAGGAAAGAGAGAGAGAGAGAGGAAAAAAATGTCACGCAAATTAGTTCCTCCTTTTCTATATTGTCCTCTCATATTGTGTGTATGTGTGTGTGTATATATGATCGATTCATAACGGAACGGAAATGGCGTAATAAGACGCCGCATTTCTTTCTCCCCTTGCCCTCTCCCAGTTCAATTGAAAGAGAGAGAGTCATCAAATTAATTTATTCCAACAATCGTGAAGTGGCCTCTCTGCTGTCGTTGTCAATTTGTTCTTTGCCCCTTTCTATTGTGCGTGTACACACACACACATATATATATATTATATATATATCTTTCTATATTACGTCAATCAACATATTATATTCTTAGAATAATCAATGGAAAGTTTTGATTTTCTCTCAGAGAACTCATCAAACTTTACGCTTCATATTATTCTTATCTATCACCAGGAAATTGAGATTCTTATATGTTGACTTCGATTACAAGTACATCTAATAAAGAACACTTCAAGTATTTGTTATAGTATGTTACTATATTGAATAATATTAACAATATCCTTTTGTGATGTAAAATCAAAGAATAAGTGTTTGAATAAAAGGCGTTCGATCATAAAGATATATACATTTTTTTTTCTCTCCTTGAAAATCTTTTCTTTTATTCAAATATACGATTAACAATAGAATGATTGTTCAATAAGATCAATGAATATTTCTTCCTTTTCTTCTTCTTCTTCTTCTTCTTATATTCAATGTCAAAACGGATTTTTGATAAAATCTATCAAACGAAATCTGATCATCATCTAATTACAAATGAAAAAAAACGAGAAATATTTAGTTATATATCTTGTGTATTGACCAGTATTAATTTTTTTAACGTATGTATAAATATGTGTAATATATATCTGAGAATAAGTACAAAAGAAAAAAAAAAAGAACGAAAAAAAGACGATAGAGAACAGTGAGTTATCGTATCACAATAGACATCACAGTGCAAAAAAAATAATAGGTAATAAAGTTGGAGAAAGAAAACAGACTATCAATGTATATATATATATATATATTTATAAATGCATACATATGTATAAATAAATATTCTATTGTCGATACGCGACACAAGCAAAACCTGAATCACATCTGGGTGTTAACATTTGACTTTCAATGGTCCATTCATCTTTATCACTATCATAAACTTCAACTGTATCAAGTAAAGATGTTCCATCATAACCACCGATAACAGCTATTCGTCCACGAATAAATGCCGAACCACAATAACATCGTCGAACAGACATACTTGTTACATTTGTCCATTGATTTGTTTGACTATCATATCGTTCTACACTTGATAAATGAACTGTTCCATCAAATCCACCACAAGCAAATATATATTGATCAATTGTTGCACAACCAGCACCTTACAAAAAAAGAAAAATAATTCAATTATAGATTTATATTGAATTATATAAGTTGAATAGATATTAATTCTACCTGAACGTGGTGTTAACATTGGTGCCATTGGAGACCATCGTCCTAGATTAATATCTAATAACAAAAAAAAAACAAAATAGATACATAATTAAAAATGAGAAAATAATTTTTACCATATTTTTCAACTGTTTGTAACAAACTAAGGCCATCATATCCACCTAAATGAATAAAGAAATTTTCAAAGTATATTTATCATTCAAGAAGATTTTGATGTTTTATTGAATTAAAGAAGATTCAATTTCGAACGAATAATATATAATGAATTTAGACGTATTTTTATCGACAGGAAAAAACAGTCGATCTTCATATAATCTATTCAGACAATCTATTTGTTGATTTTTCTATGTACCCTATAAAATAATTCATGCATTTTGCTATTCAGTAGACGAATCTAATTCATTCTGATTATCAATCTTCTTTTACTAAACAAACTAAATTTCCATGTAAATTTTTTTATCATTATTCTTCCGAATCCTTCACTGTCATATTTAATATTAATAATGAAGAAAAACAAACAACTAAATAATCTATTCTCCTTGAAAAAATTCTTTCATCTATATCATATTCTTAATTAAATAAATCTACACATACCAATACAATAAAGATGATCACCAATAGCCACAAGACCAGCTCCTTCTCTACCTACATGCATATCTTCACCAATTGTCCATACATCAGTTTTTTCATCATAACATTCTGTTGATGCTAATCGAGATGATCCATCAAATCCTCCACATACATATATTAAATCTAGACGAAAAAAAACTATTTTTAACTCGAAAAAACAATAAACAATTTACTTTGATGCACACAGACACCAGGTAATGCTAGATAGATGAAAATAAATCTTCAGCATTTTTTAAAAAATATTTTTTCGTTTACCCCTTCGATAAGTTAATGAAGCAACTGGTTGCCAATTAGCATTTTCTTGAGATAAATCAAGACATTCAACAGAATTCATACGTTGTCGTCCATCATAACCACCAACAACATAAAGTCGTTTACCAATAGCTGCTGCTGCTGCATATCGACGTCTTTTTGTCAATGGCTAGAATACAAAAAAAACATTAAGTTTAAAATTTTTATTAGAAGATTTTCTAACTTGTAAAGCAGTCCATTCATTTGCTCGTGGATTCCATCGTTCAACAATATCTACAGGTCGTTGATGAGCACCAAAACCTCCCGCTACCTATATGAACAAACCAAAATACATCTGACTTTTCAATACTATGAAATATATATCAACATACAATAAGATGTTCATCTTTTCCTATTTAAAGAAAAAAAAAAGAATCTTATTTTTATACTTAAAAAATTCATGTTTTATTTACCACGTCGACTAATAAATCGTGTTCCTGTCATTGTTTTTCGACAATCTGGTCTTAAATGATATCGTTTTGCTTCGTCAAGTAAATCACGACATTTATGTGATGTTCTTATTAGTACCTAGAAAAGAGAATGTCTATGAAACAAAGAAAAGTTCTTTTTTTTTATAAGTTTTTACTTCATTATCACATATATCAGTAATAAAACGAACACCAAGATATGGCAATCGAACATGTTGTAGAAGTGTTAATAAATATTGTTGTCGAAATGTTTGATCATGTTTTATCCAAGACATAACAGAATTATATATTATTTCTTCATTTGGTACCTTTAGAAATAAAATATAAAAAATTTCTTTTGATTACCAAAAAAAACTAACTTCAATTTCATCGGATTGTATAAGATCTTCAACTTCATTGGCTTTTAATGTTAAAAATTCTTCACTATGTACTACAGCACCAAAATGTGACCAAATAAATGATAAGGCTAAAAATTAATATTATTTAATTTTTCAACAAATGTATATTTTTGATTAATTACCAGCTTGTTTTAATTGTAAGCAATTATGTAAATCAGCAAAACAATATATGCCTAAACAATTCGATGGTTCAAGATGACTAGCAAGAAAAAGTGCACATTGTCGTTGAATATCTACAAACAAAGAAAGTTCGTAAGAATATAAGAAAATAAAATAAAAAACATTACCAGTTCCATTTAATTGAAGTAGAGAAGCAGCTGGAAGAATGTCTTGAACATTTTCACTTGTTACTGTTACTGGTTCACCATAAATTGAATTTAAAAGAATTTCCATTACGGATGCACTAAAACCTTTCAATTCAATAACATTCATATGACGTTCGACCATCTAAATATTTTTAAATAAAATATAATAATAAAACTTTTTTTTGGGATTTACTTCTCCGGTAAACATAGCAGCAAAATAATCACTGACAGCTGCTAAGACAAGACGATGAGCAGGAAAAAGAGTTTGATCAACTTTAAGTGTAACATCACATAGATGTTCACCTTTACGAAGTTTATTCATACGTGATATTAATTGATGAGAATGAGCTAAATCATGGGAAGTATTTGGAACTAATGTTTCATCGATAGGATTTGATATTTTTGAATCATATCTTTAGAAAATAAAAAAAAATAAAAAAAAATATTTAAATAGAAGAAAAAATGTTTAACATACTCAAGAAATCGGTCATTTTGATAGATCGAACCGGGAACTTTGTTTTTAGGCGTAGTATTAGTACTGTTAGAAGAAGGACTTGTCATTTTTTACTGTGATTTGTGTGCGCTAGTCATGTAAAAATCAAGGATAATGTCATAGGTAGGTACACTTCGGATTGGATACTGATGAGTAAAACAGCTGAGTGAGAAACAAAGATGTCGCTGAGAGTTGTTGTGCGTATATATATATATATATATGTCTGATATAACACTTTACATTTTAATTTAACAATGACATAGACATACTCTCTCTACTTTGTCAATATACTTATATTATCTTAAGTGTTTGTTTTATATAACCATTGTTTCGTCGCTTCACTTAGAATTTTGTGCATATGATTATATCGATTATTCTAGAAGTATCTTGATTTTAAGTGATAAAGAGTCTTGTGAAATTTCTACATGTGCTCAGATTTTAAGTAAGAACAAAATTACAAATTTCTAATAAAACTATTTTGATTTAATTATTACACTTAATTAATTTACTATTGAATTTCAATGAAAAATATTAGTTTAAAATAGTTCTATAATAAGCGTAAAATTACGGATGAGAAAATATTCTCATCTCACGAGATCTTAATAAATCTATAATTTTATTTCGTCCAAGTTAGTTTCAAGATACAATTTAATTATTTTTCGGTTTACTCGTGCGATTAATTATGAATGCTGAAGATTGTAAATTTAGTTTTATTCTACGCGATAATATGTCTAAATGAAATGCTAATATAGATTCAATAATGAATCATGTACAATAGAAATCTTCTATTTATCATTATTCATTGTAGTGTATGTCTGATCTTTCGAAAAAAAATCTTAACAGATTTCAACTCATTTCTTTTGCTAGACTATAAAAAACTACAAACCTTTTCGTTCTTGTTTGTTTTTCGAAAGTATGCGATACAATATATATGATAATAATTGTAATGAGAAGGTAAATTCATTGAAAGTATCACCCCCTACCAAACTATGTCGCAAGAGTCAAGGTATTCAATGGAAGTATAAAGATAAGTTTATAGATATACCGAAATGCTATCATCAGACTAATATTCAGCTACTAGTAGAAATAACAATATAGGATTTAATATATGTTAAGTGAATTCAATCACTTGGAAGTATTATGATTTATCCTTAAATTCGATTTATACCCTGTCTACTGTTACTCAAAAAAATACTATTCATTGCATAAAATGTACAAAATAAATTTTTTCTTACCCTTAATAAATCTGTATATTTTGAAACCATTCCAACTTTTAAGAATATGTTCGTTAGTAATAAAAATATCATTAATATTATGTTGTAAACTTATCATAATTACAATCGATATAAAATGAATAGAAAATGTGTATAACACAAGGACGTTGTGGGGTATATTTAAGAAAATAGAGAACGAATAAGTCAACATCATCATCACCATCATCATGTAGGTAAAGCCTTGAACGAGAGAAAAAAATACATATACACCATGATGTAGTCATCTATTTAGGTATAAAAACCTTTTATATTAACGAGCTTTTTAAGTATTAAAACAAAATATTTTTCAATAATTACGAAACAAAATAATATCAAAAAGATATAAGCAACAAATTTGATAGAAAAATTGTTTTAATTACTACTAAACAATTCATGACTGAAGGTTTAGAACATGTTTTTATTACCGGATAATGACAACAACAAGCACTCGATGAAGTCATTAAAATAATTAATAGTAAAAATCGATCTTGATAAATTCTACAATATTATTCAAAAAGAAAAAATATCGTTTAACTATTCTTTTCACTAATGCATTCAATCACCGAAAAACATTTTGATGATCTGTTCAATGTCGATGTTAAAAGAGTATTTTTTTATTGTGCAGAGAACTCTATCAATTTTTACCGATCATAGATCAAGCATTATTAATGGATCTGTTTACTCTGTTAGAGTTTCATTTCATCAAAATGTTTCCAGTGCTACAAAAGTAATATAATTTGTGTTCTTTGCTCATGTTCATCTACTGCAATACTTAAATTCAAACACAAATCTTTATAATTGATTAAAAAATGCAAATAAAAACCTAGTTACAATAATATATCTTGCTTTTGTTTATCATTAATTGAACAGTGAACATGGTTATAATAGCTACACCAAATTTATAGCGAACATATTCAGTAGTGATATTAAAAATAGACTTCAGTATTTCTTTTGACACTTTAAACTCTTTAATTTTGTGATTCATTCAATAAACATCTATTCATTATCATGTAAAAGATTATCTGATTTATTTTAAATTCACAATTTTATTCATTCAATTTGATTTTTTTGAGTTCAGAAATGCAATAAACTTTCTGTATGCTGAGATATTGTATTCTTTTTTTTTGTTAGTATCGTATACGAATTATCATTCAAGAAAAAGAAAATAATAAAGATGAACAGTTGCCATGTCTCTTCATTAATTTTTTCTCTTGTGAGGAGGTCGAAAACGGTTAGCACCTTTATGTGTACTGTCATATTTGTCACTTGGGTGAATATGATGTTTGTGAACTCGCAGAAAACCATCTGGTCGTCCCACTAAGATGGATCCACGTCTTCTGTGATCTTTCTTTATTTCATGATGTCGTACTTTACCACCTCGACCACGAGTACGTGGACCAAGAGAAAGTTGATCACTGACTAGTTAAGTAAGAAGTCAAATAAATATTGAAATAGAAATAAACAATGCTACAAACTTGAAAATAAACACATTAGTATGAAAGCAATAGCAAATAAAACAATGATTAATCGCATTGTACAATTGTATAATAAAATAATATTCGATAGTCTTTATATAATACAATTTGTACTGGGAACTTTTCACTTACGTGTCTTATCTATTGCGTTTGATTATTTAATAGAATAAATTCTTTTCATGACACACTAGAGAGTCATAGAATAAGATAAAATATAATACATATTACACTACATCACACTTAAGTGAATGTTATGATAGTATAAATGCCTTTTATTTTATTCATTTTAATTGTATAGTATCATTAAAACAGCGTAATTATTTGTAAGTTAAACTAAAAAGATTTTTAAGCATTGTTACTGATTGATGATAAATTAAACGGTTTCTTATCGAATGAAGTCATTCATAGTGGAAAGAAACTGCGTCATTCTCCTATGTACAACAAATAAACGTCGCATTTTTTTTTTATTTTCTTTCGTAATGTTTGATAATAGTAATGAAACCTATGAAATAATTCTCGTTCGTATATTTACTTATTTAAATCAACATAAATATATTTTCCTTTTATTGAAACAATATAATTAAATAGAAGAATATGAGAAAAACTAGAATGATGATAATATTCAAAGAATAAGTAGTAAATTGAAATTTAGGGTCTTTTTTGTATTTAGTCGAAGTTTTCTTTCTAGAATACAAAAAAAAAGAAATAAATTATATGAAAATATGAATATTTATGTATAATAGCCGCTAAAATCCATTGCCGTTGATCTTGCTTGATTTTTGACTACTAGTGAATCAAGTGGTAGAAGACGACTTCGATATGGTTCTTGTTTTGTTGTATATCCAGCTTTAGAAAAATTACGAAAATGTAATTTCTCTACATGATCTAAACCATGTGCTGTTGGATAAAATTGATTCATTTTCATTCCATTAATCGTATAATCATATCGAATTGTTCGAGCATGTTCTTGACGATTATATCTATTATTTATTTCTCTTTGTGCATGTTCACAGGATAGTTGATGATTGCGAAGAACATAACCATTCTCAAATGTTTTCAAACAAGATGGAAAACCAATACATGGGTAACGCATGTTGTATAGATGAGAATTTTCTTTCTATGATCTTTACTATTTACGTTATAATGTCTTCTGTTTATTTATGTTGCTAGACACTTTTCATTTTTAGAAAAAGAGTATCAAGTTTGTCATACAGAACGTTAATGACACAAGCATTTTTTTGTTTTTTGAAAAAGAATGAGCAAAAGAAAACATAAGTAAATGACAAACACTTACTACCATAAATCATGCAATCAAATTGAAATAGAATGTGCATTCTAGTTCCTTTTAAAAAATAATTTCAAACTATATTATTAATGATATAATGACTGTTAAAAATGCAAATGGTACGCTATATTTTCCAGTGAATCTTCTTTAAATATTAACATATATAATTTCTTTATATTTTATGATTTATTAAACTCTTATTTGTTGAATATATCGCTCAAGTTTTTAATATATAGAATGCAATAAAAAAAAAACTTTCAATCGAAGAAAACTAGTTTTTTTATAATATGTATATATACATATAAAAACAAAGCAAAATTAAATGATTGCAATTATAATAGGAATGAAAAAGAAAAACTAGAAATGATCAACAAGTATAGAAACATTTGAATTTGTTACATGATTTATTCCATTAAGCATCATAGATTTATCTTGTTGATGATTTGTTGAACCATCTAAAATGAAAAAGATTTTATAATTCTAGTTAATTGTCAAGAATAAAATTTTACTTTGATTAGCACCATGAAGCATAAGAGCTAATTGATCTGCATCATCTCCACCACAATGTGGTAAAGTTAATTCAACAGGTTTTAAAAATTGAACACCATGTGGACCACATAAAACAATTGGACTTAATAAACGTTCACCTTGTTTAGCATTAAATGATCGAATATTTGATCCATCTTGAGATACTTGAAAATAGATTTCTTGTTGAACGCCTTCTGGTATAGCACCAGCTGGAACAGATATTGAAACACCTTAGAAAAACATGAGTTTTGTTATATATTATTATTGAATAGATCAAAATAGTATCATACCTGTTAATGGACACGATAATTTTCCGCCATAACAATCCATCACACCACGAGCACTACCAATTATATTAAATCCATCTTGTGTTGAATATATCCTTGAAAAGAAATAGTTTAAATAATCAATTAATTAAAAAAATAATAAGCAAAGCATATGCTCATGCATGTTTTTTCTAGTTTTATAATTAATATATATGAAAAAGATATATAAATAAATTTATACAATACCTTGTTTCATCAAGTTCTTTGATACTTTTATCTTTTACACTCAATGTTGATGATGTTGATGAAGATGAGAGAATATTTTGTGATAATTGTTGTTGTTGTCCAAGAAAAGATCGATCATCATGAGTATAAACACGTGGTTTTTGTATTGCATATTCACCATTTTGATAATGATTTCGATTTGTTGATAATTGATGATTTATATTATGTGCTGTTGTAGAAAATGATTGTGATCTTGCACTTTCTAATGATCCTAATGTACCAGATGATGTATGATTATGTTTTTTACTTGAACACATCTTTTGTTTTAATAATGATTCTGTACGTAATTTTTCATTAGAATTAATTGACGAAAGTTGTTCATTACGACGTACAGTATCCATTGATGTACAACGAATTATACGATTAGATAGATCATTATTATTACTATGAGAATTATGACTATTTGAACATGAAGGTAAAGCTGTATGTCGAGATGATGAAGAACTTACAGGCCTAAATTTTAAATAAATTAAAAAATTATTATCGTGATTTAGTTTAATACCTATTCCACGTAGCATAACCATTCATCGGTAAATTTTTTTCTATATATGTCATGGTTGATTTATCAGTTGAATGTTTTGCCATATTATGTTGAATAGATCCTCCACTATCACTTGAACTAAGTCTTTCATTTGGATTTATTGTTCGAAGTTTTGGTGCAATAAGTGGTCGTCGAGATGGAATTCGATTTGATTTTCCATTCAATGTATTCGATTGTGACCCACTGAAGAGAAAAGATAACATGCATAGTACAATTACATGCAAAAAATTACTTTGTTTCATGTGTATGTGCTTTAATAAAAGGTGCTTGAATAAGCTTAGCTGTGCTTTGTGTATTAGTTAAATGTTCATTTTCAAAATGATTTTTATACTTCTCTTGTTCATTGATATATAAACGTTGTAAACGATAAATATCATCTTGTTCAACATGTGGTATTGACTCAGTACGATAGACTACATGTCCATTCGACAATGAATTGTACGAACGTTGATTTGTTGAACGATTTCTATCCTAAAAAATTTTCATCAATAAAAATAATAATTCAGTTGAAAAGAAAATTAAAGAGATTTACATTATTATATTTATCTGTTCGAAATAAATCATCATTATTAACATTTGATTCAAAATTATTATTATTATTAATATCATTAATTGGTTTTATATAAGATATAGATTTAGGATAAAAATTTGAATTATTTGTATTTGAATTGGAATGTATTATTACTGATCGACGATGATGTTGTTCACCATTTGTTGTTGGAATTTCTGTTACGGAATGACTACGATTTGGTAATGACATGGTAGAATTTGGAATAAATGCACTATCTAAATAATTATATCGAAATTTAAACTTATCTACATAATAATAAACACTTACTGTCATCATCATCATCGTCATCTTCGTCCTCTTCTTCATCTTCAAGATCACGATGTAAATCACTTGAAAATGAATGCTAAAGAAAAATAATCATTTAAAAATCCAGAAAAAGAAATATTTTGAATAATTTTTACAATTTTATCTCTTGGAAATACGACAGGATCAGATGCAACTCTTTGTAAATAATTATTTCCTTTTTTATTATGTAAATTCATTGTTTCCGAATCTGGACTTGATTCATATCGATTCGAATTATCATCTGAATAACTTTGTCTTGTTGAAATAAAATATTCATCGGAATTAGGTAAATCTTTATCAGCTGGTCGATCATCACTCATCCATATTGGTTGTTCTTGTTGCATTTCAATTTGTCCTTTTAAAATTTTATACCAATTCGTTGTTGTATCAAGTTTTATTGTTGATGTAAATAAATAAGAATATAAAAATTCTAAACGTTCCGATGAATCAAATAAACGTCGTGAAGATTTTTGATAAAGTTTGCCATATTCTTGACGAATTTGTTTTATTTGACGACGATCAGATGCTTTAAAATAAATAACTATAGGATAACATTGAGCATAATTTAATTGTTCAACTGCTGTTGGAGTTACATCAAGTAAACAATGACGATTCTAAAATATATACATGTCATTGAAAACATAACAAAACTGTCAGATGTAACTTACTCGTTGAATAACATTTTTGATACTTTGTAATTTAATAACATTAGCACGTGCTTTCGTAGGAGAATGCATTTCAATGCCTAGAAATAAATATTTTGATAAAAAGACGAAATTTAAAATTTTCAACTTACGGGGTAATTCAAATAGTTCAGGATAATCTTTAATCAAACGATCACGTGCAATATCAGCCAGAGGACCAAAAAGAACCACAGGACGTATGATAGTTACTATTGTAAAATAAATAAAGTCAATCTTTTATTATCATCTCATACTCTTACCAGCTTTAAGTACTACACGTTCATATGCAGGAAATTTTGAATTTGTCAATGCTAGAAAAAATCAAAGGAAAATATTTAATAAAATTATTTTAATCATTATTTCGTCAAGGTTAAAGCGTAGATAGTAAGCATTATTAAAACAATATCTTTTTTTTTCAAAATATTTCTTTCTACGAAAAACATTTGTGATTAGCCAAGAGCAAAAAGATGTGTAAGTAGAAAAAGAAATCATATACAATGACTTACGCTTCCAACAAATAGCTTTAGCTATAAATACATATATATTTAATGAGGAGGACTTATCATTTAGAATGAATAAAACAAAGAAAAAAACGTACCGAAAATTGAATCTTC